CAAAGTAGTCCAGCCGGTGTCTCAACTTTACCAACAGCGAGAGGAGACATACAACCCACTGGCCAGAGACATCGCCAACTGTCAACTGGGGGGTTGTAAACGAGGCCGAAGGGGTGAAGGCTTTTGTGGAGGCCTATCAAGTGACAGTGTTCGAATCGAGTCTGGTCTCTTTGTGAGTGAGTCGGGTGTTTTGGGAGCATCACCCGATGGACTTGTGCAGCCATCTGCCCTGCTGGAGGCGAAGTGTCCACACAGCCAGAGGAACATGACCATCACGGAGGCAATCCAGTTACCATCCTTCTGTCTCCGTGAGGAGGGTGGGTCATATATTCTCAAGGAGAATCACCCATACTGGCACCAGGTCCAAGGGCAGCTGCACATCATAGACCGGAGTCTCTGCTACTTTGTTGTGTGGACCATGAAGGAGGCGATCATCATCCCCATCCCCAAAGACCCTGCATGGCATGGAAATCTCCTCCTCCTGGAACAATTCTACACCCAGCATATGCTCCCTGTGTTGGCCAGTAGAGAGGAGGACATTTCAATAAACATACTCTTAACACCCTCGGACTCTGCGTTGTGTTTCGTATGTGTGATGGGGTGTTATGCAGAGGGGAGGAAAACAGGACACAGCAGATTGGGATTGTGGTGGAGATGCTGAGCAGTTATTTAATTGTTGCATGTAATTATTATTATACTGCGTGCTTCTTAGTTATTGCATATTTTGCTGTAACATGGATCTGTATGTAACTCTATATTTACTTGTTATCTACCACACTTCCTTCTACATCATACACCATCATTATACATGATGGTGTATATAGGATATATATATTTGTATACATATCTGTAAATTGTATCATTTTATTTAAACGTCTTTTTGATCTCTCAAACTGAGTAAGATTGACAATAAAGTTGACTTTGAAAAATATATATATTCTTTATGAAAATAGTTGACTGTTGTCAAATGAATCCAAATGAAACGTTGGACTGAACTACAACTACGCCTTTAAATCTCTACGGACTGTTTTTCAGTGGGATGGCCAGTTCCTATCTTTAAACATTTATTCGTTTTTTCTCAGAACAGATTTGATTTTCTGAAGTTAATTTAACTTTGCCGACCATGTAAGGTCATCATTAAAAGGTACAATCAATTTGTTTAGGGTTGACTAAAATAATGAAAAACATTCATTTGGATAATTTACTGACAGAATAAGAAACTCAATGATGCTCTACTCACCTGTTCCCTTTTTATAAAGTGAAACAGTTGAAACGATAGATTTTAGTAAACTTAAAAACAACCTTCTCCAAAAGCTATCAAGGAATATACCGAATACTTGTTTTAGAACTTTATTACATATTTTTATATAAATAGTTTGAATGATCCATAATTGACAGAAGCTTGTGTTTACACTGACCTGTTACTCATATATTAATGTCTTTGTAACTTCAGTAAACCACTACCTCACTAATTTCTTTCATTCATCACGGTTCAGTAAACTAAGTGATACATGAACCAGTTTAATCATTATAATAACGTAGGATTGCAACTCTTTGAAACTGTAGGTGGCTCTTAAAAGAGCTGTTGTGTTTGGGTGTGCTGGTCTCAGGTCAGTCTAAGCCCTCTCTCCGCGGATGCGGCGGGCCAGCTGGATGTCCTTGGGCATGATGGGGACCCTCTTTGCTTGGTTCATCTTACTGGGGGGCAGCTACATGGATGTCGGTGCAGTCCACAATCATTGCGCAGTTGAAGGCAGAATTCATTTATTATTGACTCCGAATGAAGCACAACTTCATGTCATACAATACAATGACTTTATTTGTAATTGTGTAAAAAAATATGAGCATTGATTAGCAAGCAGGACCTGCAGGAACAGAGAATGGTGATGGAGCTGGGAAGAGAGAAGAATAAAGAAAACAGATCAACTTTATTATCGGATATTAAAAATTCAATTTCAAAACAAGTTGCCGCTCCTACAGTTTTCTAGTATGTAAAGATGATTTCACATGACCTATGCAAAATATCACACTCAATACGTGTGTGTCTCTGGGGGGTGCATTGTGCCTTTGATGTATATAAATAATATACCATAACCAAATACTATTACGTACAGTGGAAATCAGGTTGCCAGAGCAGGTCAGTGTGCATGTTCCTCAACGTCTCAGCAGTTACAGGTGAGGTAAAGAAAATAAAAGAGAAAAAGGTCAGTAACAACACTTTAAAGTAACAACACTTTGAATAATTATCTCTTCTAACAATTTTCTCTCAATAAGCACACAACGACTGTCTTTCCAACAAACAGATTGTCATCACAATGAAACACGTCCAGAAGAATGTCATGCAAAGCTCCCTGCCTGCCTTCGACTCTCCCTGAACTGCTTCCTTAGCACCCGGTGGAGGGCGCAGTAGGCTACTCTTCAAATGTTTCACGAAATACTTACCATCATGTTTGGTTACTGTTTAACATTTTGGTTTACTTCATGTAATAAAATAATAACTTCATGGTAAGGCTACTGAAAATGACAAGGCTAAGTAATGTAATGCTAACTAACGTGCTCGCTACTCGTCGCTACTAGCTAGGTAGCTAACTTGACTATGTTCCATGCACAACATGTATATTACCTATGATATTACCTGATATGTCTGATCCAGCGACTCCTGGTCCTTTCATCAGACGGGAATCGATAGAAGGAGCAAGTGGTATGATCACTTTTATGACTACAACCTGGTACAAAGCACACAGGCATCTTGTAAAAGTGAATTTATTTTTAGCGATCTATAATTTATTGGAGGGAATAAATCAGTTATGAGATCTTCTTCTTCTTCGCTTTAATTACGAGTCTTATTATAAATCACCGAGCATGCCTGTGACATCACTTACGCGACCCAGAATGGGATTTGGGATTTGTAGTCTTTGTAGTAGCGTATTTTTCATAGTCTTATATTTCAGCAGTTTTACGACAAAATGTGACTTTTTTGACATGGAACTGATTGTTTAAAGGAGACCTATCATGCTATATTTAAATGATATAGTGTATGACCATACCTATATAAGGTATATTTATACATTTTATTTTTCAAAATACCAAACAGATCATTTTTTAGCCATGCCTCGTTTCGCTCATTTTCGCTCTTTTCCAAGCCTGTCTTTGAAAATTCTGAGCAGCAGCTGACCACGCCCCCCTGCAGAAGAGCGGGGCATGAGCTGGTGAGAGTCACGTTAACATGCTTGCTGTGATTACGAGTGTGGAATAAACATGTCATCTCAGAGCAATGCATGTGTTCAAGCGTATTATCAATTTGATCCAGAGACTGACCCTGAAGCAGCGGAGGTTTTGGTGGAGGTGCAAAGATCTCGGTTGCAGCAGGACGTTTCTGAATGGTTAGTTGACAAGCTGTTGTTCCTATTTATTTTACTCTGTTACGATGATTGCTACTTATTCCGTTCATATTTTGGCTAATTAGCAATAATGCTATGTGTACAGTTTATAACTTAGAGCTTGTAACGCAAAAACAGCGATACATATATATATTTATAAAGGGAGACATTCATATTTTCAGCATATATACAATGGCCTCATTGCGTTTATTAATAGTTTACAGCCCTTTTCTTCCAACATCGTGCAACAACCGTTGGAAAGTTCAATAACTTAGGGTGATAAAAAGTATAACTCCAACAACACCTCAGTTGTCAGCAGTGTGTGTAGTTTCATGTGTTTTTAAAAGCTCAGTTATTGACTTCTTTCTACAGGTGTACATGTGCAAATTGCGCCACGATGCCTTCTGAACCGGAGAATGTGTGCTGCATGGCGATACCACAGGTAACATTTTTGATAGCTTCACTAAGTTGTCTGTTTAGAGAATGCATTTTTAACATGTCATTCAATATGTTTATCACACTAGGTGTCAAGACGGATGCAGGAACTTGAAGACTCTGTTAACTGTATGGTGGACCATCCTGGATTGGAGCCTGTGTGCCTGAATGTGTTCTCCCTGCAGAATGCATTGAATATTTATAGAGCTGAACATGGTTGACTACAGTTGAGGCAAATAGAGCAGTGAGTGGTTTGTTTCTTTTGACTGAAATTGTAAAACGAATGCTAATATTGTTCATGGAAATAAATACTGGTGTATATGGCTTTATGCAATCTTTCATTGTACATGTACTATTATATATATATATATATTATTACACAGCAATGGCATAACACACCCATGTGTACGACAAAAAAAGTCCACACACAACCTTATGCTTTTGAAATCAGAATATTCTTTACCCATCCAAACATGAATAATCACGACACATTTGATATCAACTCGGAACTTTATTGTCAAAATCAACGGTTCTTTGAACCCATAAAAAAAAACGAAATGTACTTGTATTTTGTATAAATGACACAATATATCTTTTTAATGATTGCAGGCGTCACAGGTATCTAGCCTACAGAAGCTTTGTGAGCTGGTGCTGGGGCTTCCTTGGACGCAGGATCAGAGTGGTGATTCCGGCCTGCGTTGTCCTCAGGATTCGCAGGGAGTTTCCTGATCCGCGAAATGTGTATGTTGGGTTCAGACAGCAGCCAAATTGAACCGTGTAACATACCCGGAGATGACCTCCTCCCTGTCAGGTCGCTCATATTGGGAACACAGGTCCTCTGGGATGGGTATCTTCAGAAGCTCCTGTGTGAATGGTGCAGGGTCCACAAAGACTTGGTCGAATATGAGGTCCATCAAGTTGGCCACGTAGCCTGTGTAATATTAAAAAAAGCACAACAAAAAATGTGGTTTAGATATGCATGTAAAAAACTGAAAGTTCTTTCTAATTTTTTTATTTTATATTTGTAAATAGTTGTATAATAAATATTTTAAACACTTACGGAATGTGGGGTCAGTCTTTACTGGTTTTGCTCTGCATTCTCCCTTCCTGGCCTTTGGGAACTGCAGTTTATATAGAGGGTTTCCAGTGGATGTAGTGGCTTGTGCACGCTCAGCGTTTTCATTGTAGTGCAGGGCTGCCAGGTACAGTCTTTCATTTCCGCCATGAGGGGAAAAAAAGTAAATAATAGCAAAGAATGTACAAATTGTCACTAATTAGTAAGTAACTATGGTTTATTTTACCTGCACAACATTCCAAGAAATGGAAACACAACATTCTTTGGAGCAAAGCGCAGGATGATGGCATGGAATGACTCCAAAGATTAAGTCTGGTGGTGTGGGCTGAGTTTGGCCACAGCTTTCAAAATCCTCTTGGTTGAGAGAATTGTCTCCAGCTTGTGAAAGGCCGGCGTTCCTAAGAATTTGAAAATCAAAGTCATATTTGAATTGTCATGCTTTATAGATTGTGTCTGACAACATCCTGTATTCAATAGTTGTCCCTTACAAATATTTATAGAGGAGTAATGTAATATGGTTTATGAACAACATACCTGCAGCCATCCATTGGTATTGCGCAATGCGCAGTGGATGAAGGCACTTAGGGAACCATTTGGCCACTCTCTCAGGCCCGGTGGTGGAGGTTGCTGCAGTCCAGTATATGTGGTTTCTTATACTCTTCACCCACCCTCGAAGTTTTTCGCAGTCCTTCTTTTTTGCAGCCTTCTCCAGTTGCTTAGAAATCCCTAATAAATACATTTAACATGTAGTTAATATACATACAAGTTTACTCAAAATATTATTATATTATTATTATAGAAATTAACATAAATAAAAATACCTTTTTCTATGTGCCACACATCAAAGAATTGGGTGATGCTGCTTTCCCTTAGGAATTTCTGAATTTGCAGATGTCTGTCCGTGACAATACAGTCCAGAGTCACACCACGTTCCTTTAACAACTCCAGACTCCTTTTCAGGCCCTCTAACTCCATGTGGTAGCTTCCACCAACCTCATTGCTCTGTTATGACACATACAAATAACCATTGATACACACATTTTAAATATAACGTGCAAACAGTGTTAAAGAAAAAAACATTGATATTTCATTTCACCCCACTTACCTGAACCAACTGGAGGTCAACGACTTTGTTGTTCTTCAGGTCCATCATAGTGTAGCTTCCGAACTTTGCATAGTGGCCTGTGAAAATATGTTTTACAGTAATTACTTTTCTCTGCGGATGGTGAATTTGTATTTTTGCTTGTAGTGTTTAGCATATGTTTTTCAGAAACCATTAATTGAATAAATCACACATAGTGAAACCCCTTTCTGAAATGTAAAATGTGAATTATATAAAAAATACATACCTGGAGAGTCAGCCCTCATATCACCACCAACTATCACTTTCTCCTCTGCATGGAGCTTCTGTAGCATGCCTTCCTGTGATTTTTACCAGTAAGAAACAATCGCTGGCTCAATGAACATCCTGGCATGCCTTCGGAAGGTGTTGTATTTGCATAGCTGCATATTCATTGTTTGAAGACCTAATGGTTGAAAGAAAACCGCAAGAACACATTTTAATCTCAAAGATCACCTGTAGATTTGTTGACGAGTCGATGAGGAGAACCAGGAAAGTGCAAATGAGCTGCCCTTTTTTAAACAGGGAAAGAGCTGAACATGTCATTATTTTATGTCATCATTTTCTCACTCTTGTTATTGTTACCTTGTCCTATCTTATTCAACAACAACATTTGCATTTTCAAACATTGGCAATACAATCTTCTGCAGTTAATTGACCTTTGAAAGTTTGTAGAAAGATGCTCTGTTGACATATGTTGCAACTGATAGCTGCAGGTTTCCAACTGGAGTACTCCCAAGAACAGGCTGGCTATTCCAGTTTCTTGTAAACTGACAATGGGGGCACAGCTGCTGCACTGATATGAATGTACCGATCCTTCTGGTTTGTACATCACACACACGCTTGCACACAGGACATGATTCAAAAAGCTCCATGAGGCAGGTCTCATACACGATGTATGTGTTGATCGTCTGGGGGGGGTTTTGTTCTTGACCACTAAAACAAAAAAATAGAAGTTAATATCCATCACACAGATTGTTGCTTTAGAGATCTTTGGTGTTTCCCTATTATCAATGTTTGAATTATATACAGCAAAAAATACAATACATAGACAAACTCACACATAGTGATATTTCAGTAACTTACGACATGGCTGTTGTTTCTGTAGCATTTGTTATGGATTCTGCTGGATCATAAGTTGCATCCTGGCCTTCGGAAAATCACCAAAGAAGAGCTTCCCTCAAATGGATCTTCGTATTCCTCTTCAAGATCCACACGGGGCCTCTTTGGTGGTCTCTTTAAGGGGGTGGATGTTAAAAAGGGCACTGGCACTTCCAACGGAAGTGTTTCGACACCAACGCTTCTGCAGGGAATTTTAGCCTGGACAGCTGTAACATAATTGTATTTGACATTAAAACAAACAAAAAGATAAAACAAAAATATTTTTACAACAATTAGAAGCACACAAATTAAAGGCTACAACATCAGAATGTCAAGATGTATCCAAAGAACATTTGAAAAACGTGCTTCTAACCTGTACTTCGATGTGAACCAAGAGTCCTCGAGGATAGCTGTGTACGAACAGTACGGTACTTGGGTGGGTCAGTCTGACATGCAGAATCTGTCATCACAGGTAATCTGCTGGTAGCATGTGAGGTGCTGGCCTGTAAAGAAGAAAACAAAATCATCTCAATTTAGTATTCAGGATGAGAAAATACTATTTGGATAAATATAGTCTGAAATCCCAAAAGATGGGGCTAAAACTCTCTATTTAGCAAAGCTCTTTGCTTAGCCTTTTCCAATCTGAGTTAGTTTTGAACCGTAACGTGCATGCTGTGTTTCTGACTCAATACAGATGATGTGTTGGAGAGGGGCTGAGCTCAGTAGACTGACTGTAATGAGTGCTAGCCACTAATTAGCCTGTTGCTAGGTAAGGCCTCGTCAACAACAACAGACCAACGGGGCTTTAGCTCCGTTTAACTCGTGGTGTGTGTCCCCCCCCCCTCGCATACATACACACAGTGTTGTATCCTAACACATCCCCATTTATATTCATGTGCGCAAACAAGTAAACATACAAAAGCTTTTACATATAACGCTGCAAAAAACGGCATGTCTCATTAGCGTAGCGTAGCTTAGCTTACAGATCTGATCGTTCTTACAGACTACAATCACAAAAGCTTTTACATATAACGCTGGAAAAAACGGCACTTACCTACAGAAGATTACGTTTGTTATTATAACTTACTCAATATGATTTTAGAGGATACAAAATACTAATAAATAAGAGAATAAATACTTGTGTTATCGGCTAGGGCGTGGATTTACAGCCTTCACACAGATCGCCATTACGGCAGTATGTCTGAACATGTTAGCAAATGCCTGATAATTAAAATAAAAGACAAAGCAAAGACTGCGGAGCGTACAATATAAAATGTTATAAAAACATATAAACACCTAACCGATTACTATTTGGGTTTGAGGCGACATTGATACGGCGAAGCTACATGCTACATGTTACATACTACAAGCTAGAGATAGCTTTATCAGGAAAAACACCGCTAAATAAAAACTTACAGCTTCAAAATTGGATGTGTCCTCACTGGCCTGCTCCCGGATGGTTGGTATTGATCCCGGGTTTAGCATTAGCTTGGAGGCATATCCGTGTTGGACTTGAGAGAAGTTCATAAACATGTCCGTGGTAAAATGTTTGGAACACACAAACAGAAATCTGCCGTGGTCTTCTGGCACATGTCCCTTGAAAATGAAGTCTAGCCACAGATTATTTTCTTTTTCCACTGATGGCATTGCATGCAGTCCCCTGTCCCGAGTCTTGCAGCCAACAACAGCACAAAGTTTCACTCGCTTAGACATCCTGGCAAGAGCAGACAAAAACACAGATGTGACTGGAGTTGATTTAGCCTGCCGATAGCCTATATGCGAATGAGAGGTTTGGCAATGCACGTGGCCGTGGCTCATTCCCCTGATAGGTGGAGAGTTGACCAATAAGCGGAGCACGTCTCTTTGTGACGTAGGAAAGTATTGAAATCTGGATCCGTTTTTTTCAGATCCGTTTCAGCCACTTTTTTAGAGATTTGGCGAAGGAGGAAAATAGAGAGGGTTGTGTTTTCTGACACTTGGTGAGTTCCCTGGAACACCGGGGACACATATTCATGTATAAAAGACGTCCAAAGGTGCATTTTGCATGATAGGTCCCCTTTAAGATTGACAAACATCATATGTGTAGTTCGTGGCACAATTCAAACGGGATCAAAATATACGTGTTCTCTCTCCATTTAATTCAATGTAAATGTTTCGCTTCCGGGGTCCCATGGTCCGGAAGTAGATGGGCGTGACTTCGCCTCTCCATGCAGCTGGTTGCAGGAGATGAGGCATTTTTCTAGGCATTCCATCTTGTAAAGAACATCATACTTCTTGTCAGAGTTGGAACTACAAAATAGTCAGGTTACCTTACCGTTGGAAGTTTGGTATTTGTAGGGAAGGAATATTGTATTTCCTAAAAATCCAATCTGATTTTGGAAGTATTTCTGCTTGCAAGTGTGTATTGGCGGTTTTTTGAATATTCTTGTTTGCAAATGTGTTTTGGCGGTTATGTGCTGTGCTGTTTTACCATAGTGTAATTTTCTTCCCATTTTTAAGATATTTTTAAGGAAAATAAGCTTCTTCTTGTTAAATAGAGGTCAGTTTTGCAACAGCTATCCCTAGTGGATTGAGCTGGAAATTACAACAGCGCACTGCTGGTAATCTTCATCGCCAAGATAGAATTGCAAAGTGGTTTCTAATTATAAGATGAGAAACTTTACATAATAGTCTTTCAAACTAGACTGTAGTATATTCAAACACCAATTTGTTGAAGCTAACACAAGTTGTGACATTTGCATAATTGCATACACTTCGGTATGCACTGTACACAGTAGATTTAGATGTTCACCAGATTTCTAAATTTCATATTTTAAAAAGTCAAAACCATACACTGTAAAAATGTTATTTTTTAAACATTTCTGATTTTAACATTTGCATAATTATTATCTTTTAATTTTATTTATTAATTTTTTACAAAAAACTTAAAGGGGACCTATCATGCAAAATGCACCTTTGAACGTCTTTTATACATGAATATGTGTCCCCGGTGTTCTAGGAACTCACCAAGTGTCAGAAAACACAACCCCCTCTATTTTCCTCCTTAGCCAAATCTCTAAAAAAGGGGCTGAAACGGATCTGAAAAAAACGGATCCAGATTGCAATACTTTTCTACGTCACAAAGACGTGCTCCGCTTATTGGTCAACTCTCCACCTATCAGAGGAATGAGCCACGGCCACGTGCATTGCCAAACGTCTCATTCGCATATAGGCTATCGGCAGGCTAAATCAACTCCAGTCACATCTGTGTTTTTGCCTGCTCTTGCGAGGATGTCTAAACCAGTTAAACGTTGTGCTGTTGTTGGCTGCAAGACTCGAGAAAGGGGACTGCATGCAATGCCATCAGTGGAAAAAGAAAATAATCTGTGGCTAGACTTCATTTTCAAGGGACATGTGCCAGAAGACCACGGCAGATTTTTGTTGGTGTGTTTCAAACATTTTACGACGGACATGTTTATGAACTTCTCTCAAGTCCAACACGGATATGCCTCCAAGCTAATGCTAAACCCGGGATCAATACCAACCATCCGGGACCAGGGCCAGTGAGGACACATCCAATTTTGAAGCTGTACGTTTTTATTTAGCGGTGTTTTTCCTGATAAAGCTATCTCTAGCTTGTAGTATGTAGTATGTAGCATGTAGCTTCGCCGTATCAATGTCGCCTCAAACCCAAATAGTAATCGGTCAGGTGTTTATATGTTTTTATAACATTTTATATTGTACGCTCCGCAGTCTTTGCTTTGTCTTTTATTTTAATTATCAGGCATTTGCTAACATGTTCAGACATACTGCCGTAATGGCGATCTGTGTGAAGGCTGTAAAGCCACGCCCTAGCCGATAACACAAGTATTTATTCTCCTATTTATTAGTATTTTGTATCCTCTAAAATCATATTGAGTAAGTTATAATAACAAACGTAATCTTCTGTAGGTAAGTGCCGTTTTTTTTGCAGCGTTATATGTAAAGGCTTTTGTGATTGTAGTCTGTAAGAACGATCAGATATCATCGATCTGTAAGCTAAGCTACGCTACGCTAATGAGACATGCCGTTTTTTCCAGCGTTATATGTAAAAGCTTTTGTGTGTTTACTTGTTTGCGCACATGAATATAAATGGGGGTGTGTTCGGATACAACACTGTGTATGTATGTGAGGGGGGACACACACCACGAGTAAAACGGAGCTAAAGCCTCGTTGGTCTGTTGTTGTTGACGAGGCCTTACCTAGCAACAGGCTAATTAGTGGCACTCATTACAGTCAGTCTACTGAGCTCAGCCCCTCTCCAACATATCATCTGTATTGAGTCAGAAACACAGCATGCACGTTACGGTTCAAAACTAACTCAGATTGGAAAAGGCTAAGCAAAGAGCTTTGCTAAATAGAAAGTTTTAAGCCCCATCTTTTGGGATTTCAGACTATATTTATCCAAATAGTATTTCTCATCCTGAATACTAAATTGAGATGATTTTGTTCTAACTATGTTTTCTTCTTTACAGGCCAGCACCTCACATACTTACTAATTAGTGACAATTTGTACATCCTTTGCTATTATTTACATTTTTTTTTATCATGGCGGAAATGAAAGACTGTACCTGGCAGCCCTGCACTACAATGAAAACGCTGAGCGTACACAAGCCTACATCCACTGGAAAGCCTCTGTATAAACTGCAGTTCCCAAAGGCCAGGAAGGGAGAATGCAGAGCAAAACCAGTAAAGACTGACCCCACATTCCGTAACTGTTTAAAATATTTATTATACAACTATTTACAAATATAAAATAAAAAAATTAGAAAGAACTTTCAGTTTTTTACATGCATATACTAATCTAAACCACATTTTTTGTTGTGCTTTTTTTTAACATTGCACAGGCTACGTGGCCAACTTGATGGACCTCATCTTCGACCAAGTCTTTGTGGACCCTGCACCATTATGAGCGACCTGACAGGGAGGAGGTCATCGCCGGGTATGCTACACGGTTCAATTTGGCTGCTGTCTGAACCCAACATAGACATTTCGCGGATCAGGAAACTCCTGCCTCCCTGAGGACAACGCAGGCCGGAATCACCACTCTGATCCTGCGTCCAAGGAAGCCCCAGCACCAGCTCACAAAGCTTCTGTAGGCTAGATACCTGTGACGCCTGAAATCATTAAAAAAAATATTTAGTGTCATTTATACAAAATACAAGTACATTTAGTTTTTTTTATGGGTTCAAAGAACCGTTGATTTTGACAATAAAGTTCCGAGTTGATATCAAATGTGTCGTGATTATTCATGTTTGGATGGGTAAAGAATATTCTGATTTCAAAAGCATAAGGTTGTGTGTGGACTTTTTTTGTCGTACACATGGGTGTGTTATGCCATTGCTGTGTAGTATATAATAGTACATGTACAGCCATATACACCAGTATTTATTTCCATGAACAATATTAGCATTCGTTTTATAATTTCAGTCAAAACAAACAAACAAACCACTCACTGCTCTATTTGCCTCAACTGTAGTCCACCATGTTCAGCTCTGTAAATATTCAATGCATTGTGCAGGGAGAACACATTGTGGCTTCAAAGACAGGCTTGGAATAGAGCGAAAATGAGCGAAACGAGGCATGGCTAAAAAATGATCTGTTTGGTATTTTTGAAAAATAAAAAGTATAAATATACCTTATATAGGTATGGTCATACACTATATCATTTAAATATAGCATGATAGGTCTCCTTTAAGTTTTAAATAAAAACATCTTTAACTTAAAAAAAAAAATATATATATAACTTTAAAAAACAAAAAAAAGCTAGATTTAAAGTTCGGATGACATAGGATATTATTTATCAGGAACGAAGGTGCTAGTCGGAGGATTAGTGCTTCGATCTTTGATAACTTAATAATTTCATTCGAATAGGAAGAGAGCATGTCACCGAAAGAAACTAAGTTGAGACCAGACGCAGAGCCAGGCTCAACTGCAGATATCAAGGAAAGGGTACAAATCAGATCAGATTATTTAACCTTTCCAAGTAAAAGACTGAAGACATGGAACCAAATGGGGAAACTGTTGGAACAGTGGCAAACAAGAGGACTGATTCCAGCAGATGATCAACCTGGACCAACGAAAGCACATAGAACAGCTGTAATTGACTATGAGAATGGAGAATACCTGCAACAGCAATAAGCATGGATCAAAGCCGGACAACCCCCTTGGTATGGACCTGCTAAAAGCGCTATGAACAGAGCTTAAAAAAAGAAAATCTAGAGTTACAAGTCTGGTACTCCATCTAAAATATGTCAGCCAAGGATCAACGAACAGCATGTATGTGGTTCAAGGAGCAGAGCTCACGGCAAAGGAAGATAAGAAAGACAAGACAGAAGAAGCTCCACTTATGCAAAAACTTCAAAGCTCCATCCAAGCTTGACTGATGCGCCTCCTCCCTACATGACAGAAGAACACCTTTTCTTTCAACCCTCAATACAAGCTTTCTTTTGGTGCTTTAGGAGGAGTATTGGAGTTGGACGGTCTCCCCACAGCTACACGTGTCAAAGACTGAGCTCAACAGAAGATTGGAAGAACTCGGCAGAAGAATGGAAGAGGAGCTCAACAGAAAAATGGAAGAACTCGGCAGAAGTATGGAAGAGGAGCTCAACAGAAAAATGGAAGAACTCAGCAAAAGAATGGAAGCACAACTCAAGAGAAGAGAAGGCGAAGGTTCTCCAGACACAACAACAGTAACTGAAGCTGGAAGACTCAAGAACTGCTCAAAACTCATGCTACCGGTGATAGCGGCTGGAGAGGGAGGATTGAAATACTAATCATGGACTCACAGAGACATGGAAGCATTAGTGGCAAAGCTACCTCCACTCATCAAAGGAGGTCAGAAGTGGGTGAATGATCTGGAGAGATACACAGCCCAAGACCACCTGTGCTTGGGGGACATGAGGGCCCTGCTTGGACGGATTGAAGGACGACTTGAGGCAAAAGCAATAGATTCTGAGGCCAATTGCACGACTTAGATGACACCCCATTCAACTACATCAGGTCGAATTATTGGGCTGCTATTCGTCACATCTACCCGACAATACGCATTTTAGATGTCCCTCAACAGCCTGAGGAAAGGCACGGAGGAAGAAATGCATGCCTTCTTGAAGAGATTTGAAGGAGTGTGGGAGGACTACACTGGAGAACGACATGATCTTTCTCCACCTGTTGAAATGTGGTGGAAGAAAGCTGTCGTTAAAATCCTTCCCCCATCAGTGCAGGCAAGCCTGGATAACGTGGTGGGATTATACACTAAACCCATTGAAGAATGGGGACTACATCTCATTCACCACAATATGAAATACCAAGCAACACAGAGGGAAAATGATGAAGACGACAAAAAACTAGCTAGAAGACTAACCTGTCTTGAAGATACAAATAGCTGAGAAAGATACCGAAGCTAATAAAAACAAGAAAGCGTCAAGGAAAATGGCAGCTACATCAGAGATGGCCATAGAACCAGAGAAGGCAGGGCAGACACCTCAAACAGTTGAATCTCAGATAGTGCCAGAGAATCAGATGCAGAACCGACCACCAGGAGGTTTCCGAGGAGGCAGAGGCAGAAGACGTTTACGGTTTGAGGGATGTTACCATTGCAGCCAAATGGGCCATTGGACCAGATATTGCCCGCAACTACTAAGGCAACACTGTCCTTCACTGCAAACATCGCTGCTACAACCCGTTGCTGCAGATACACGCTTTACAACATCAGGAAGATACGTCCCCAGCTGACTCAGAAAGCGACTCAGGTTCTGGTCCAGGCTCTCGTCATCTCACGCCTAGACTACTGCAACTCCCTCCTGGCTGGTCTACCTGCATGTGCCATCCGACCTCTGCAGCTCATCCAGAATGCAGCGGCCCGTCTGGTCTTCAACCTTCCTAAATTCTCCCACACCACTCCGCTCCTCCGCTCCCTTCACTGGCTTCCGGTAACTGCTAGAATCCACTTCAAGACACTGGTACTTGCTTATCATGCTGCGAATGGATCTGGCCCTTCCTACATCCAGGACATGGTTAAACCGTACACCCCAGCGTGTGCACTACGCTCTGCATCAGCCAAACGACTCGTTGCGCCCTCGCTGCGAGGGGGACCCAAGTTCCCATCGGCGAAAACACGTGGGTTTGCTGTCCTGGCTCCAAGATGGTGGAATGAGCTCCCCATTGACATCAGGACGGCAGATAGCTTGCACATCTTCCGGCGCAAACTGAAAACTCATCTCTTTCGACTCCACTTCGAGCGTTAGAACTATTAACGAAGCACTTTTATACTAATAAAGGACTGGCTTACCTAAAGCCAGTTGAGTAGCACTTGAAATGTTTGGCTCTATGAAACCTGATGTACTTATATGATTCTGTTTTCTTCAAGGTTGTGTCTTCCTGGTCGAATGTACTTATTGTAAGTCGCTTTGGATAAAAGCGTCAGCTAAATGCAATGTAATGTAATGTAATGTAATGCAACACCCACCACATGCACCAAACAACGGCCCTCCATGTAGTTACCCCGGGGGAGGTTTCCATGATGACAACGGAGGCAGGGGGTCCCAGAGATGTCAAAGACGAACAGGGGTGCCAAACATGACCCAAATGCCACTGACAGCCTGTTATCAACCACAACAATGAGGAAGCTCAGAGGGCCAGACCACCAGGTGATGCATCTTCAGCACAAGTGTATTTTGAAATCCAGCTACATTGAGCCACATCTGTCACCACAGGAGGGAGAGGTTGAATGTTATTTAAAAGATAGTGAGTAGCATATTGCATTTACACATAAAGCATCCACAGATTAGTAGAAGATTAAAACATAGTAGAACATTTAGCAGACTATTTTTGTAATTATGAGAAGGATAGAGATTACGAGTGATGTTGTTCCCCCACACAGAAAACTATTGTGTCCACACAGCTAGTGAGGTCAAGACGATGGGGTTTCCACTCAAAAATATGAAGACGGAAACCTAGTACTCGCCCAAGAGGGAGAATCCTTGCCAAGTCCTCCTGTTTACACCGACTGCAGTTCAAGGGGCGGCGATACACCTGACGTGAAGCTGTTGAGACCTGAAAACAGAAACTCGATTCTGCTGTGGTGAAGTCTGGCTACAAAGGGAGGTGTCCGATAGGGTCGCTTGTCTCAAACCAGTGAAGAAGTCAACAAGAACCCAGCAGAACTAGAGAGTGACTGTTAGCGGGAGAACAGTGACAGAGCGACAGAGACTGGCACAACATTTTCCAGCCAGTACATAGATAGACCCCGGCAGAAGACCGGGGCTGTGTTTAAAGGGGAACTTCATTTATTGTTAGTGGAAGTGTAGTTTTTTAGTCAAACAATTATGTGATTTATGGAGTCAGATTACATTTTTCTCATAAACACCATTTTATAATCGGTCTGAAGTATCTGTTTTAAGGCAATGAGCTGCAGACTAAATAACCTAACACTGATTGAGAGCTTGGATGAAGAAGTTGTAGGGTTTTTACTGCAGTTTCAAGAATAAGTCTTTATTTATTCTTGAGTAACTTTACTGATTTATAATGTAGTGCGTAAGGCAATATCTCATTTTGAGTGAGGGGCACCAGCCCTTCATGCATGTCACCCTCTGTGAGAATGGTTCGTATTTTCCCTCTAGTTTGGAGAAATATTATTTTATCATATGTTAGTTCAGCAGTATCAACCAATCCTCTAATCCTAGAGTTGAGACGCATTACCAGGGGTATTGTTTTTCGCAGCAACAATGATGCATAATACCATGACAAAAGCCATTATTGAAACAAGTAAACAATTTTTTGTGCTAATGGCAGATTTTTCAGAAAGCCATACATCATACGATATTTTGTACGCCTTATGGGTACACGGAGAAGTTATATTTATTTAATGCAACGTTATGGGTTTTACATGTCCTGTTCAGAATAGGGTAATCATTGCAATATTAATTGAGCATGTTATGCTCAAAGGAGGGA